GAGGGGGGGCGCGGAGAGGGGGCCGGAGTTTCATGGCAAGCCTGTCAAGATCTCTCCCTGTGTGAGGGCTCCCCCCACCCCTTCCTCGTTTACAAACACTGGGAAAGAAGGCCACGGAACGGCAGGGACCCCCGAGCGGGGGGGGGGGGGAAGGAAAGAAAATAAAACAAAAGAAAAAAAAGTCCCAGCATTGGGTAATCCTCCAATGCGGGATGGCTCTAGTTATTAAATAACACAAGGCGCTTGTCACAGCCGAGTTCTCCGTGTAATAAAACACCAGGTATAGCAAGAGCTTGCAGGAGAAACGAGGAGGGGGACCTGGGAAAAGGAGCCTTTCTCTTGGTGGGTGGAGGGGAGGTGGGTACCGGGGTTAACGGCGTGGCGTTCCCTGCGGCCAGCAAATTGACTCCGAGGTGATTTGGTCTTTCTTTGAAATATTGACAAACTTCCACTTCCAGCGTTTTGGGCCGCACTCGCCTTTGTGGCCAGAGCAGATAAAGCCGTGTGTGAGGGACACCGGGAGAGCGGGAGAGAGGGAGGGGGGGAAAGAGACATTTAGGTCCAAGTGCCGGATTAAAAAGAATACTGTCTTTAAAGGTCAAGGGTTTGAAGGGTCAGTCTGTTCCTCTAAAAAAAACAATTAATGGGATAGAAAATTTGTCCTCTCGGTGAACTCCCGGTTGCCTTAGCAAAGGGAGCACAATGCGAGAATTTAAACTGGACGATGTAATTTTCGAAGTTATTGTAAAGACGGGAGGTATCGGACGGGGAGCAGAGGGCTCCCAGCCCGGGAGCAGCGCCCTGCTCCCAGCACAGGCAGAGGGGGAAGGGGCGGGGAGGGGGGGGAGGAAAAATTACCTTAAGCGACGATACTCTGCCATGGGGTATTTTGCAGTCCGCGGTTCAATCTCCAGCAAGAGAGTGTACATTTTTTTAGCAGACAGCCAAGATGCTGTGTCTTTACACATGACCACTTTTTTTTTTTTTTTTTTTTTTCCAGGAAAAACCTTTGCGTCTTCACAGACTTTTCCAAGAGAATGCCTTTCAGAACCGCTGTTGAATTACAAAGAAGTATTTATTGTAGGAGGTGATTAATGATTCTCGCTAAAATTGCTATTTGCAGCGTGATTTCATTTCTCTTTACAATGGGAGCAAACCAGGTTTATACGCATAGGCTGCACACTAAAGAAATCCTGCATCGCCAGTTAATACATTTCAGATGGAATTTTGCTCGGTTGTGCTAATTTTGGCTCTATATATATTGAGGGATTCTCACGCAATAAACAAAATGAAGAGTTACGCGCTTGTGGAGAGTATTTACCTCACTTAACAGCTACATTTTCCCTCCCTTTAATAAGGAGGCAGCTGGCAATTCAGGATTTAGTAAACAGCAATATGTGAGTAGAAGCACACTTTCCAGGCCTGCTCCTTGGTCAGGTTTGGAGACAGCGGTGTTTGCTGAAGGTATTTACAGCCGCCACCTCTCTGATACTGAATGTGTTCTGCCAGTGGCACGTTTCAATTTCTTGGGGACAATGTTGGCCAGGTAGGGATGCTGGCAATACTTTTGGGGCCTTGTGCTACCTCACCCAGGGAGTGATGATGCACGCAGTGCTGGCGGCCCCACTTAAGCAAAGAGAAGCACTGATTCCAAAAATCCCTCTCGGATGTATTTGGGTAAGTAAATAAGTCTTGGCCTTCAGGCCTTCCCTGGAAGATTTACTAGCACTTGAGTTCCTTCCCATGGCTTTTCCTACCCAGCTCAGTGTTACTCCCTGTTGTGGAAGCCCTGGGCAAGGCTCCCTGTCAGCAGCTCTGCTTTTGCTAGCACTCCTGAAAGCAGTGAGATGCGCAGCCTGAGCTGGAACCACTTGAACCCCATTTTCCCACAGTCATTTCGACAATCTAGGTCAAATAAACCTCCTGAGTTGTACACAAATTCATGTTCCTGACGAGGCTTTCTCAACATATTTCGAAATAGTCTTAAAAAGAAAATAAAAGGAAACAGAAAAGGCAGCTGGAGAAACTTTAAGTTACCGCCCATGTATTCCCCTTCAAAAGTGTTAGCCAACTGAGAAATCATAATAGGGTGAAAATGAACGAATAAATCACGGCTGGCTAAAGATTTAAAGTGTTATCATGGGGAGCATGTGTCACTTCTCCTCCAGCAAAACCCGCACGGGAGTTTACTGGCTCCCAGCAGAAGCACAGTTTCTCTGTAACACAGCTGAAAATAGCCGTACGGACAGCGATGGAGAGCGGGACTAATCCTGCCATAAGTCTGCTGAAGAGAATACCACTCACCTATACAATGAAGCAAGACCTTTCCTCGTCCTACAGCGCTCTATTTCCCAGCCAGGCAATTAGGAGTCAGGACGTTTTTCACTATATTTAAAGCAACCATTACCTTATTGACAAGATGAATCCAAGTTAAAACAATACGTTAAACCGTTGTTTTCCATTCCTGGTGCCAACACCAGCCAAGCACAAGGTGGATGAAACAGCACTGAGTGGACTTGTGTTTCAAGCGTTTAATTCTTTTGTACAGAATAATCTTTATTACCAGCATTTGGCACTGTGATACATTACACCAAAAATCCACAAATTGTACATGGACCCAAAACGATTTAGACGGTGCCAAATATGAAGACAGCAACAGCCTTTATAGCAATATTTCTTTAAATAAATGCAATAGGGAACGTGGAGAAAAACTAATAGATCACAGCTACTGCGGGGGCTACACTTAAAACCAGTTAAGTTACCTTTGATGCATAAAACATTTTCCTTTAGACAGCGTAAGGGGACATTTTTCGTAAGTCTTTAACTTCCCGTAGACGTGTTCGTTCTATCTCCCGTGTTGGTGTGTGTGCATACGTGCGTGTGCACCCTCATACACACACACGCAGGGAAATCCACGAACACGCCACGAAACAGCGCTATTCAAGTCAATGCCTTACACAAGTGTCTCACGAGGTCTTTGCTTTGTTTTAACTGTCTTTTATTTTTAAAGTGTTCTCTAAAAAAAAAAAAAAAAAAAAAGAAAGAAAAAAGAGTCCGTCTTAGGTACGGAGAATTCGTCCGTGACAGCATCCAGCCCTCTCTTACACCGAGGGCATGAGAGCGTTTCCATAAATAGAAAAAAAATGATGGGCATGGAACCATTATCTATATACAATGTAGACAATCGTCCGGGTTTTGGTTTAAACATGTGCCCGTTCTTGGGCACGTCTCGTCTTCCTTTCCTGCTCCTGTTTTGTTTTACACAGTTGTTTGGTCCAAACGGCCAGCCTCCACCACGGGGCAGCTGGAAAACCCCAATAGATAGGTAAATATATATATATATTAAAAAAAAAAATAACCGTATTTATAGCGCGGCTGCGTTGGGTGTAGCCCCATCGAGCGGATGGGGGTGGCCCTGTGTCTGTGCTTTGGACTGCTGGCTCAGTGTGGACTGGTTTGAGGAGCGCATCTTTGTATTAGGCAGTTTATGGTCTTTCTTCCACTTCATGCGCCTGTTCTGGAACCAGATCTTGACCTGGCGCTCGGAGAGGCAGAGGGTGTGCGCGATCTCGATGCGTCGCCTCCTGGTCAGGTAGCGGTTGAAGTGGAACTCCTTCTCCAGCTCCAGGACCTGCTGTCTGGTGTAGGCAGTGCGAGACCTCTTGGGCTCCCCTCCGTTGTAATTGGGGTTGACTGAAACGTGCACACACAGGCACACACACACGCGGAGGGGAAAGAAAGGGAGAAGTGTGGGGGGGGAAGCGATGGAACATAATCATTATATAATAACTTGACACCAGGTTCACATAAGATACATAAACGGCAAGAAAAATTGTTTCACAGCCTATCGACAGTGGGGACAATCGAGGAGCAATAAAAAATGGTGATGGGCATTTGGGTTAGAAGAAAAGCTTCAAAGACACATGGCCCAGAGCCACTGCAGGGCAATTAAATTTATGGGGGCTATAATTACTGCCCTAACAGTTTGGCGTCTCGTAAATCTTTTGATAAAGGACCCCGGATACAAAAGGTTTCTCATTTTTTTTTCTTTTTTTTTTTTTATTAGGAAACGCGGAGGGAGAAGGAGGGGAAAAAAAAAAAAAAAAAGCCACACACGCAACGACCCAACCCGGCCCCGGGAGCACCCTCCCCCCTTCCCTCCTCTGCAGGCGCATCCCCACCTCCCCCTGGCAAGGGCAACTCACCCGTGCTCACATGGATCTTCTTCATCCAGGGGTAGACCACCGGCTCCTTCCCCTTCAGCCCGGGCAGGCTTTTGTCGGGCAGTAGCGGGCAGCCGGGCCCGGTGCCGGCCCCGGCGGCGGGGGCCGCTTCGCAGCGGCGCTGCAGGGCATGGCCTGGGAGCAGGGGCT